ATTCAGGACTTGCTTAGCCTCTGCGAGTGAGAGAGCAGGATGGTTTTGTGTGTGTGTGTGTGTGTGTACGCTTGATAGAAATACATTGAACAGCAGTCATTCTTTAAGGCAAACTATTGCCTTTAAAAACTACCCTTCATTTAGGGCAGGGAAGGGGAGAAGCAGGTTGCTCAGGTTAGTGAAGCTGGTGCATTTCACTTCGAGCTTGCATTTGAAACACTTGGAACAAAGCTACTATGATGCCTTTCAAAGACTACACACGCTCCTACGTCAGCAATCCTGAATTGGGATGGTTCTTTGGAGGTAAAATATTAGGGGAAAGGTGAGAGTTACAAAGGGGGAAAGGTGATAGGTCTGCACGTGGGTGACGACATTAGACAAAGGGGACGCAGTTCAGGCAGATGCATCAGAGTTGTCACCATTCTTTCCCAACCTTGTTGACTTCTCACTGGGAATATTAAGTCCCTACTCTGACCTCAGGAAGACCACTCAGTCTCCAACTCAGCAAAACCCCCACGCCTCTTGTAAACGGGAGGGCAGAACTAGTGTGTTCCTTGGCAACGGGGGCATATCGCCCAAAGATAATATGACACCAATTCAGCTCAAGGGCAACCTAGCATGATGTCGGTGCCTACAGACGGGACCTGGCAGAGGTAGCACACCTTCAGTCCAGATGCGGTCCCAGAGGCAGCCTCCAAGGTAACAAGGACAGTCAGATTCAAATCGAGGACACGGATTCATTTTACGAACATATTCAACACCAACTAGGTACCAGACATCATGCAGAGACTGATGATGCCATTGTGAGCTAGATAGATGGGTTTCTGCAGCACTGAACTCGCTGCGCAGGTGAGGGAAAGAGACTGAAGCAGACACTGGTTGTGATGTGAAGCAACATGTGGGGAGAGTCTTCCACAGGATGCTTTGAGAGTATTTAGGGGATAAATTCTCCATCCTGTGCTCCCTTCCCATGCCAGGGCAGAAGACTCCTTGTTTTTCAAACACATTACGGGCTGGGCCTCACAGCCCATGTCTATTAAGCAATGGAAACATGTTTATCTTTAATGATAACCATAGGGGTTTCCCACCCATCAATTATACATTATAGAATGACTATCCATGCATTATGCTTAAGTACTTATATGTTGAAAGTTATCATTTTGAGGAAATGTCTTTCAGCCACTTTGTTGTATGAAGTGGAACTACCTGTTCGAATAGAACAAATGTGCGATGCAAGGTGAGAGAATCCTAGCTCCTGTCTCTTCTCAAAGGATCTCAATTCAGTTGGATGATGTGGTAGAGAAAGAGCTAAAGTGTTGGAAGGATGACAGAAAATATAATCGTATTTTCATTCAAAATATTTTGACCCACGATCTTTGCACTGGATCATAAAGACCATGTGTAGTCAACCTCTAACGTCAATCATTAAACTAGCCAAGATGCCTGCAATTGAGGAATAGCTAGCACTCTGCACTTAGAGTTGGATTATTAAGAAAAACCCCATCCTCTGGTGCTGTGACAGCCCCATTCCCAATTCAGGCACTTATAACAACTGAGGTTTACAGCTGGCCTTAGGGTGAGACCAGGGTGGGAGTACAACTCTTTGGAACTGCAAGGAGAAACAGGTCGAACCTGGCCTAGGTTTCCCAAGTCGATTCACATGCCTTTGCCAGGACTCCCTTTAGGGAGGGAAGCAAAAAGGAGAACCCTCAAGCCCACAAGCTGCTTAGTTGCCAGTTTTACCCAACTTTCCGACATCTCTGACGTTTCCTCCTCCCCAGTAACCCAACTGAAAAAACTACAGAGTGCGGGAAATATCAGCAAAGCTGGAAAGTTAAAGCCTTTGAGAAAACCCAAGGGTGTGTTTCTATATTTGTCACCTGTCTCATTCAGGCTGAGAAGCCGTGATGGTGCCGTGCTGCTAACCTCAAGATCAGTGGTTCAAACCCATCAGTAACTCAGAGGGAGAATGACGAGGCTCTCTGTCCCTGTAAAGATGGACAGGCTGGGAAACACCCTGCACAGAGTTGCTCTGAGTGCAAGTGCAAGTGGACTCATGGCAGTAGGTTTCATTTTGGGTCCTTTAGGGTGCTGAATAGTGACTAACTCCATCTGCCATGAACCTAATGTTTTGACTGAGCTGACTGACTGGCTCATGGAGACCCCATAGTAAAGGTGCTACTCACACCATGAAAAAAGACACCTGCTTTGTGTCCCTGCATTTTTAAATGTTCCTCTCTTTTAATGAACTTCTTCAAGACTAAGACCAATAGATATTTCATTGTGTGCCTTTTGTTTTTTTTTTTTTTTTGTGTGTGTGTGTGTGTGTGTGTGTGTGTGTGTGTGTGTGTGATTGCTTAGATTTTCTTCCAGGTCTGTTCTTTCCATCTATCTTCACAAACAAGATACGTTTGTCCTGGGTAAATGACAAAAACAATTTGATGATTAGAACAAAATACGCTGTCCCTGTCTCCAACGTGTTGCACCAGTAAGAATAGTCAAGCCTCTCTCTTTCCTTTATGATGTCTACTAAAATGTGATGGTCTGGTTCAGACTAATCAAAATGAGGAGTGCTTGCAGTCAATCTGGCATTTTTCCATAGCATCTCTTCTCAAAAAAAAGATTGTCTCTAGAGAAAAGATGAGCTCTATTCCACAAAAAGAAGTATGGACCACTATCTATTTTAATCATTGTGCAAATTACTCAACTTGAAGATTTCCTTCAGGAACAAAGAAACGAATCAATAAGAGAATGCTGCTTTGCTCTGTATGGCTACAAAGACTAGGAAAAATAGCAAGGGGTTCCCAGATCGGCAGTTGAATAAGTATGTTTACCACCAGCTCAATCCCAGCATCTACAGGACAAGGTAGAACTGCCCCTGTGAGTTTCTGAGACCAACATTAAAACAAAGTCCCTGCTGACAGCCTGCTTGGGAAGAGAAATTTGTGAAGAAGAGAAATTGAGCTGGGTAAATTATAAATACAACAATAATAAAACCTCACTGCCAACCAGTCATTTCTGACATATAGTGACTGTGCTATGTCCACTTGAGTGGGCTAAGATTGTTCCATCATATCTCATGGTCAACTTCATGATGGGATCTTCTGTAAAGTAGCCAAGCAATTGTGGGGAGAAGAGACCTCCTTGATATGCTTAAGGGAGTTCTCATTCACGGTGTGGCCTACCGTTGACAGTGCAAAGAAGCTAGCTCACGTCTACTGCTGCATTCGCATCCTGCATCTGGTTCACTGGCCTGCTATTATATTAGCTGCCAATCCCAGGAGCCACCAGCAGACCGCTGACCATGGATCCTTTAGGCCGATCTCAGATTCATTTAGTTCAGTATGTACCAGCCTGTGGTCTTTCTGTTTGATCTTCCTACTTCCTTTCCACCAGCCCCTGCAGCCACAGAAGTCAGGAGAAAACTTCAGCTTACATCTGACCCATAAACTTGAACCCAACTGCTTCTCCAACTGTGGGAGCCATTTTTAAAAAATTTTGCTGCCCTAGAAAACCCAGACTAACATGGTAACCCTAGAGGGAAGAGCAGAATTGCCCCTGTGTGTTTCAAAAACTGCACATCTTTATAGGAGTAGAAAAGTCTTTATCCACGAGTGGCTGGTGGGTGCTAACTGCTGACCTGGTGGTCAGCAGCCCAATCTGGAGTGCACATCTCCATCTCGGCTCCGGGGGTTTTGCAAGTGGAGAATGCATTCAGCGTTTACCCAAAAGGTTGGAGGTCCAAATCGACCCAGAAATACCTTGGAAGAAGAACCTGGTGATGTACGATCATATTTCCAAAAACTTAGCCACTGAACAACCTCTGTAGCACATTTTTACATGGGCACACACGGGGCTGCCATGAGATAGAAGCAAGCAACACAACTGGTTTCAGCAATGCGCGGGGAGGAGCTCCAGGGCTCAATGGAAGAAATGGACATCCATTCGAGAGATCCAGGATTGTTTCACGGAGATGAGAAAAGAGCGAGACTCGGAAGTATCTCTGAATGTGCTAGACAGGAGAGGCAGATGGCAGCCCAAGCCAGGAGAATGTCCTATAAAATGATAAGCATATTAAAAGATACATTTTATTTTATTTTCAAACTATTTTCTTAGAAGCGAATGCAGACATCATACCATTCCATATAGGTCAATCATATCAAGCAGTATGGTACAATTGCAACCAACTCAGTTTCAAACCATTTTCTTCCTTCTTGAACTCCTTGATATCAGATCCCCCTTACTGTCACCATCCCACTATATCCCCCATAACCCCTTATTCTAGTTGTTGTCTCTGTAGATTTCCCTATCCTGGGTTTCATATACCAAAAAACACATAAAAACACATAAAAACACATAACCAAGATTCAAGAAGGCTACCAACATGACAAGACACAGCAGAGATAAACCCCAATATGAAAACACACACACAAAGAAAATATTAAAAATCAGATTAACCCCAACGTGTATCCGAGGGGAGACCAAGTGACAGGGTTTTAACAGTTCAAGTCATATTTATCATGTTAATCTACAGTAGTCATCTCTTCAATACTCTGATCACCGAGTTATTCCTTCCATCAATATGGACGGAGGGAAATCACCTTAGGCTTACACCCTGTATAGATCTTGCAAATGTATTTTGGGCTTCCACTGTCATCCGTAGCCTTCTGTGCACCAGAATCTCACAATTTCAGCTCTGATACTATTCCCTGCTTCAGATTTGGATGGGCGTTTACGATCCTTAGATCAGAGATGTTGGTACACTTCTTCCATGTGGATTTAGTTGATGTCTCCCTGAGATGGCTACTTATTTGGAAACAAGCTTGCAAGACCCAAGAAGCTATTGCATCTGATAGCTTGGCACCATCTAATTTCTTCACCACACTTTGCTATAGCACCCTTATCTTCTGTTTCCTTCATGAGGGCGAGTAAAAGAAGATATATTTCAGATGTATCTCAAGTGTAGGGCCAACCCCGGATGAGCTCTGCGGCCTGTGAGGATGGCAGGGCGCAGGAAACTCATCTCGGTGGTCAGAGATAAGGACACTATGACTGGCTTCCTGCTGGGTGGCATAGGGGAGCTTAACAAGAACCACCATCCGAATTCCCTAGTGATGGAAAAGGATACAACCATCAATGAAATCGAAGACACTTTCAGGCAGTTTCTAAACTGCGATAACATCATCCTCATCCTCATCGACCAGTACATCGGGGAGACGGTGCAGCACACCCCAGACGCCCACCAGCACTCCCTCCTGGCCGTCCTGGAGACCCGGTCCGGGGAACACCCCTATGATGCAGCCAAGGACTCTATCCTGCGCAGGGCCAGGGGCATGTGCACTGTGGAAGACCTGCGCTAGGCGTCCCCCAAGGGCCCTCATGGCCAGGCTTCTCCTGTCTTACCACCCACCTGCTGGGCATTCTGAGCCTCTGGTTTCTGCCTCCCTGCCCCACTCCACTCCCGAGGGCCGGGCCAGGTGCTCTCAAGGTAGCTGGGGGTCTGTGAGGGAGCAGGCACCGGACCATCTTCTCTTCCCTCCGCCACCTCCTCCCGGTGCTGCTGCGCAGTGCCCTTGCTGGTGTTAAAGCCAGATTCTCGATTCCCTCTAAAAATTAATTAATTAATAAAGGCTAACAGAGTTATTTCCGGTTAGGAAATAACAAGAAATGGGTTCTTTCACGGATCGTCAGCCATTATAGAAACTCTTTCATGAAAATTAATAGACGGATCACAATATAGGTTTATTGGACATGCGCCCTAAAGAGAACTTCCTAGAATCCAAAGGACAAGTCGGTGAAATGTCCCTTAGCGAAAGGCTATCACTGAACCAAGAGATCACAATAAAAAGTCTTCCAGAGGGAAAAAAAAAAAAGGAACAAAATATGAACGGAACAAGCCTCAAACCAATCCAGACCACACTTACTGACTTGAGCGACTGGTGTAACCAAGAGCCGATGAGCCTTAGTTACCCTTTGTGCGTGAACTGAACTCGCCCACATGACTCACCTTTCTGCCACATGATAGGGCTGTGCGGTGAACAATAACATCAGGGAGGTTTGAACTCAGTAGAACATTCAACGCCACCAGAGCAAAAGGGCAGCGATTGCCCAGGGATCATGATCAGAAGGTAAGAGGTATAGGAAGGAAGGATGCAGCAAAATGGTAAGCACAGGGAGGAAGTGAGAAAAAATGAGATTACATTGTGGAAAGCGCCATCCGTGTCACAAAGCAAATGTGCATGAGTTGTTGAACAGAAAATCGATGGGCTCAGTGAACATTTAACCCATATCACAATTCTTCAAATAGTTCACTAGAGGAATTTCCATCCTAGAGAAAGTCACCATGCATCTATCCATTTGTTGGACTGTGGTGGCTTGAAGGTTGTTGTGATGCTGGAAACCACGCCATTGGTGTGTCAAATCCCAACAGGATTCCCTAGTCATGGTGGATCGTGGTCAGTAGCAGGTTCAGATTAAAACAGAAAAGAAAGAAAGACCTGGCCAACCTGCTTCCAAAAAATTAGTCCACAAAAACCGCACGGATCACAACAGAACACTGTCGAAATCCCTCACTTCGGAATCATCATCAGAATGGATTCACTGCGAGAGGAGGACATCATATTTGATGGCGTGAAGTGAGCATGGCCTGGTGAGATGGACTGTCACAATGCAGTGACATATACTGCTGATCAGGATTACGGCCTGGAACGAGGCAGCATTACATTCTGCTGTTCTTAAATGTCACCATGTGTGGAGGGCAATTCGTGGCAGCTTTCTGCTGATCTATAATTATGCGTTCATTGGAATGACTAGCCAAAATAACAAATTGCTTCTCAAACTAAACAAACAACCTAAACATCACGTATGAAAAGCCTTAAGCATATAGACAACACCCAATGCAATCAAGCAACCCGAATATGTCTCTGTACAGTCATAATCACAAAATGATCACTAGTGGAGAAGGCACACGTTCTGAGGTGCAGCATGCAATCCTGCTGTTCCCTATGTATAATATTCAGGTCCCTAAACAGTGAAGATATCGGTATCATCATATTCAGTATAGAGCATATACACTAATTGATGAAAAAACTCACATGCCAATTGGTTATGAAAATGTGTGAAAGCAGAGTTGTCTGTACCACAGACTGTCTTTGGGAAGGGAGGTTTCAAGATATTTGAGTACTTGAGAGACCAGAGAGGTGATCTACTTCTATGAACTTATATCAGATTTGTATAGGGAAATTCAACACTATAGGCCATCATATAGACCGCAGCCTAAGGGTGAAAAAAATCCAAGGTTTGAAAAATCTCAAAAATGAAGAGACCTGTTAGGAGAATCATCTCAGTTTTAAAAGTTCAATATGTCTTTCTTTTCACTTTTTTTTTAACTTGATATGGATTTTAATGCTTTCTGTGTTTTGTTTTTTCTTTTCTTTTTTGAAATCATTTTATTGGGGGCTCATAAAACTCTTATCACAATCTATCCATACATCCATTGTGTCAAGCACATTTGTACATTTATTGCCATCATCATTCTCAAAACATTTGCTTTCTACTTGAGCCCTTGGTATCAGCTCCTCCTTTCCCCCCTCCCTCCCCACACGCCCTCCCTCACAAACCCTTGATAATTTATAAATTATTATTGTCATGTCTTACAATGTCTCCAGTGTCTCCCTTCACCCACTTTTCTCTTGTCCGTCCCCCAGGGAGGGCATTATATGTAGATCATTGTGATCAGTTACCCCTTTCTCCCGCACCTCCCCTGACCCTCCTGGTATCACTACTCTCATTATTGGTCCTGAGGGGTTATCTGTCCTGGATTCCCTGTGTTTCCAGTTCTTATCTGTACCAGTGTGCATCCTGTAGTCTAGCCAGATTTGTAAGGTAGAATTGGGATCACCTTTCTCTAGTTCTTTAATGCTTCCCCCCACCCCCACTATCATGATCCCAACTCTACCTTACAAATCAAGCTAGACCAGAGGATGTACAATATGTCTTTTTAATGGAAAAAAATTAATATGTTTTCATTAAAAAGTGTGAAAATATGACTCAAATATAACTCTTTGTGGGAATAATGCACCAGTCCAGAATAATCATTACTTGCCAACTATTCTGTTTAATTTGTCTGCTTCTCACTGTATCTTTTGAAGAAAATCTAAGGATACAATCATACAAATATACCCACTGTATTAATGCAGCAGTCATTTTATTTGGTGTGACTGAAAGAAGAATTAGGCAGCAGCAGCACCATGGAGGTTATTCTCCTGGGATGTACCTAGCTAGCATCATCACATTGGATCAAACGTGGCAATAAACAAAGTTAGAAGTGTTTTATAAGATCCTTGGAATCCCAATGTGGTCCCTAATTCAGGAGCTAAGGAGACAGAAGAAGCTGTGATATGTTCCCAGGCTGTCGAGACACAGGTCAAGTTATGACAGCCTTGTGAACAGCAAGACAAATCCTGTCCGCGTGGCTGTAACAGGTTGGCATTTAAGACCCTGCCATGGTTAATTGCTACTAAAATCAGGGATACAGAGGGGTTTTAGATGATTATGATTTTGATGGATTTGTTCATTTTTATGGGCATAGCACCCTACTATTCATATGTCAAAAGTTTTTAAACTACAAACTACTAGAACTTCAATTTCTATGAAGACTGAGGTGAAAGGTTTATTCCTCTGATGATCAATACAAAGTTCTACCTTCATCGCCTTTCCTAAAATGTGGTATAAAATGCAATGTTAAGTGAAGTCTAACTTGATCATTAGAACTCATTTTGCACCTCTGGTCAAAATTCCCAAGTACACATAAATATTTGAGGGGTCATAGAACTGATTTGATTATCTAAATGTTTTTGATGGTTCAAGAATTCCTGAGAAGATAGTAATACATTCTCTTCTGCGATAAGACAACAATGAGAAATAATGACTTGAAATTAGAAATAAATTTGAGGTTATCCTTTTTCAAATTAATCAAGGAATGCTTACATCTTATTAACATTCCACTGATTCTTAGGAAAAGAATCATAATTTTTCTATCACCATGAATGCAGCATCCCTCTTTGTCTATCACTTGTCTGCATCTGGATCTTTGCCTTGCATTCGTGTGCAAGATAAATGCTACTAAACTCCTGTTAAGAATCGTTGTTAAATTAGAATTCCCTCAATTCACTCTGTCACACCAAAAACCCTTGATAAGTGGCAGTCAAAATCTTGACTACTTCAGAGATAAATAAGAGATAAGCCAATGTCTCATATAAGGTCTGGATCACTGAAAATTCCTCTGACGAGGTATTTCTATGATTTTAGGAAATTAGGGCTACCTCTCCTTAATATAAAAAGGAGGAATATAGAGCCTACCAGGTGTTTAGAGACTAAGACAGAACTAGGAAGAAGGGACAGGCAGATCACTTTTGAAAACAGTGACTGAAAAGTTTGACTATTAGTGATGCAATAAATGGAGAGATGATTGAAACTGTCAAGGAATTCATTTTACTTGGGTCCACAATCAATGATATGGAAGCAGCCCTTAAGAAGTCAAACTATGTGCTGCACTGGGAAAATCTACAAACGACCTCTTTCAAGTGTTAACTAGCAAAGATATCACACTAAAGTGGGCCTGATACAGGTCGGGGTCTCTATTCAATCACCTCCTATGTGTACACATCGCACGAGAAAATGGACAACGCCTAAGGAAAACCACAGAAGCACTGATCCATGTGGATTACTGATTTGGTGAAGAATATTGAATATATCATGGACTGCACGAAGAACCAAGAATTTGGTCTTGGACAAAGTACAGCCAGAATGTTCCTTCTGGCGGGGGTGGGGGGAGGGGGGGAAGTAAAAAAAAAATTTCTTGGAAGAGAAGATGGCAAAACTTTGTCTCATAATCTTAGGCCATGTTATTTGCAGGGACTAGTCCCTCTAAGGACTCCATGCTTGATAGAGCAGAGGGTCAGCCAAACAGAGGAAGACCGTCCCTAAGATAGGCTGACCCAATGACTACAGCACTGGGCTCAGACATAAACAGCCATGCGGCTGGCTCAGGACCAGGATACGTTTGGTCGTGTTGTAAGTCGCATCATCAGGAGTTAGAGACAACTCCATGGCCCCTAACAATAACAAAACATTTCTTAGAAATTATTTTTATCGTTTTAATTTTTTTCTCTTATCAATTAAAAATGAGAGAGAGAGAAAGATAGAGAACTGACGTTTGGAGAAGTAAATCTGGCCAACCATCCACACAATCAGAACTCAACTGCGCACTGACTCTCCTTCTATGGTTATGTTCATTGTTGTTATTATGATCTGCCTTGGCATAGACTCCCAGCTCATGCCAACCCCATGCCCAGGAGAA